CTTCCACGACAGGCTGTCTTGGATTTAAAGACCACCAGTATCTTCGGAGGCGTGGGTTTGAATCCCACCGCTGCCACCAAATTTTATGTGGCAAATCTTTTGAGATTAATTTCTTGTTTTAAGTTGCGTGACTCTGCTATAAATATAATTACAATATTTATACTTTCACGGCAGGCTGTCTTGGATATAAAGATCACCAGTCTCTTCGGAAGCGTGGGATTAAATCCCACCGCTGCCACCAAATTTTATTTGGCAAATCTTTTGAGATTAATCTCTTGTTCTAAGTAGCGTGACCCTGCTATAAATATATTTACAATACTTATGGGGGGAGTATAAATATTAAGGTTTGAATGATAGTTTGCAGATCTTTGCTTTACAACTTCCTGTTAAAAGGGTCCTATGTAAAACCAACAGCCCAAAAGATCGGCAAGAAAATAATCTGTTACAATGGAAATAATGTTTGCATTTTCTTAAAAAAACTTATTGATATTTGAAACTAGTGAAAGGAGTCATCAGAATACCTTGTATCTAAAGACTTTTGCGAAATGAAAACATTTTAAATGTTTTCAAAATCGAATACTTTTGAGAATTGGATACATTTCGAATCCCTTTGAATTTGAATACTTTTGATAATTGAATAATACATTTTATTTTTTTTGGTGGTATATTCGGTTTTCTTTTCCTAGTAGTTATGACTTGCGGTACGATTTCTATGAGCCACCCTGTATATGATATGTATATATAGAAAAAAAAATAGTAGGAATTTTTGTTGGTGTCTGATTTTGTTATCGATTAATGTGAGGACATCATGTGCCAAAGATATTATTGCTCATTCTAAAACTCAGAAGTTGATAGATGATGCCTAGTAATTATAAAGTAATCTGTATCATATTATGTATATTTAGGACCCAAAATGGAGTTAAAATATAATATAGGTGAAAGCACAGAAAACATGTAATTCATTCCTGTGGTAAAACGTAAATTTAGAATAAACATGAAAAAATATATTTTAAATGAAACTATATTAGAATATATTTATTAGAAACTATGTAAATGTCAATATATCTAAATAGTATATTTTAATTAATAGAACTTAGGAATTTCGTTTAATTGAATAGAATTAAGAAAGTATTTTCACTTGTATCAGGGTTCAGGGCATCTCAAAAAACAACAAGTTGGTGAGTGTCGATATTTTAAAATGGAATTAACAGTATATTACTTCATTTTTGGGTTCCTTCTAGATCACCTTACATAACCCTAATCTAATATTCGTTGTAATAGGTCCAGCGAATTAAATAAATATGTAAAAAATAAAAAAAAATTCCAAATTTTACCAAAATACCAAACCAAAAACCTCATAATCGTGTTTCTGTGGTTGAAATATACTACTCAAAAAAATATTTTCACTTATTTAAGGCTCAGCCTGTATATTTTTTGTTCTATTTAAAAAAAAATCGACTCTCACTCTCTGGCATTTTTTGAGATACCCTGTAAAAGTAAACATATTTTTTTCTCAATTGCAGCATCCTGTATAGTATTCTGTAAAAGTCAAGTCACCTAATATACAGGGTGGTCCGAACTGTATTCCGAAAACTTCGGTGACATATTCTACAGATAAAAATAAGTAAAGAAGTTCGTATAAATATATGTCCTAAAATGCTTAGTTTTGGAGATACAGGGTGTAGAAGTTTTGAATTTTATTTCTATTTTTTCCAAATTATTTCTGAAGTAACGTCAATATTTGGATGAAAATTGGTGTCGGGGAGTTTTTGGACATGAGAAATTTGATTTTCATGTCAACATGACCCCTACTTGTAGGGGGCGCCACCTACATATTTTTTAAATGGTTTGAAGAGTAATAACTTTTCGTCCGTACCTGTATAAAACTATTAAGTAAAAAAATATACATTTAAGTATTTACGTATAAGCGTTTTTTACGTAAAAAAGGTCTCTTGGTAAAAATCGCTACGAGTAATAGTTCTCGAGATATTTGGAATCATTGACATTACAATTGACATTGCAATTATCATTGACATAAATTAAACATGTCAACTAAATAGTTATTAGACTGAAATCATAAATTTGAAATGTCTTTGTGCCAATAGTCCAACAGAAACTGTTTTATCATGATATTTTCGCAGAAAAAATTGTGATTAATATAAGAAAATAAAAATTTCCCAAATTTATTATTTCAGTCAAATAACTATCTATCTACTCAACGGGTTCATTTTTTGTCAATAATGTCATGTATTGACTATTTCCATTCTAAATACCTTGAAAACGGTTGCTCGTAGCGATTTTTACCAAGAGATATTTTTTACGTAAAAAGTCACGGAAATATATATTTTTTCACTCAGTAGCTTTATACAGGTACGGACAAAAAGTTATTACACTTCAAAACAGTTAAAACACATGTAGGTGGCATCACCTATAAATAGGAGCCATATTGATATCAAAATCAAATTTGTCATGTCAAAAAAACCCCAGACACCAATTTTTATCCAAATATTGACGTTATTTCAGAAATTATTAGGAAAAAATCGAAATAAAAATGAAACTTCTACACCCTGTAGAACGAAACTAAGCATTTTCGGACATACATTTATATGAACTTTTTTACCTATTTTTATCTACAGAATATGCTGCTGAAGTTTCCGGAATACAGTTCGGACCACCCTGTATATGAATGAAATTCTTAAAAAAATCTATTGTATATGGATGATAATTAATTTCTTGGAGTTGAAATAAATGTAATAATAATTTAAAATGTGTTGCATTTTATCAGATTACATACATATTGTAAACGTGACAGTAGAATTCAGAAGTTTTAATCGATTAGAAATTGTATTTATAGGTAGATTATATGTAAATTCTATATAATAGTTTATTGTTTTATTAGGAGTAAAAATGATATTTTTTGCGGCGACGCTGTACGTACATGATATTACAGGCGAGTCACAAAAAGTCATTTTTATTCCGAATAGAACATGCTATTTTTTTCAAATGTCACACAAATAGTTTTTAACAATTTTAAACGTTCCAAATTATAACATATATTAGTATATAACAATATTTAAAAATAATAACTTGTAAGTAATTATACATATACAGGGACGCTAATATGTACGGAAACGGTCGATTATTGGGTAAAATATACGAGTTAACGCAAAAAGTTAAACAAAAAAGTTATAGGGTTTTTAAATGTCTATTGGCGAGTAATAAATTTAAGTATACCGGGTCGTACCATCTGTATATATCGGTCATAAAGCCGTGGCACATCAAAGTTTCATTTTTTTAAATGAAACCTCCTATATATTATTGCATATTTCAACTCTTCCTTCAATTCTAAGCCAAATTATGCCTAGGCGTTAAAATGACTTTTTTATGTTGTCAATCTTGCCAAAAAAATTATACTTTTGTGACGTTTGAAAACAAATATGTTGACAGTATATTATATGTTAATTCATGTTATTAGAAGATTATTTCAGAATCTTAGTTATTTTAGAATTTTTGAACTTATCTAAATTTAGTAAGTGTATTATGCTCTACTTTTTTTTGATAAATTTTATTGGTGATTTTAAAGTAAATTATCTCTTATTTTAGATTTTAGCAATGTCTTTATGTAACAATAAATGAAAATTCTACATAAAATGTATTAGTTTAATTTCTAAATATTTTTGTAGATTGTATGGCAGGCGGGAAGTTAATCACTGCGACCTTATAGATCTATTTTGTTCCCCTTTCTTGAGTTATACCTCAGGCCTTTGACAAAAGCCAGTATCGGAGACGATTTTACAGAGGTTAGTACTGCATCTCCGATATCACTCGTGCCAATGACTATGGCATGAATGGTTGTCGTCTCAGGCACTCAGTAATGAGGTATTCTGGTGTTTCCCCATTTTCCCCACGGAATCTGTATTCACTCTTATTTCTTAGCTTAATCTACTGATGTGTTCATTGAGGAGAAAGTATCTTGTTAACAACCCCGTGACAATCCGAAGATTGTTCTTACTTAAATCAACGGAAATCTTTGATAAATGAATTTTCTCGGTTATAATAATTTGTTTCAGTGCTAAGTTGGAGGATTCAACGTCTACTACCTTTGAGCCAAACTGTATCAAGTCATTTATGCAAGTAATTTGTAGTATAACCAGGGTTCGGAAGTAGTTAATTAAGACGTAATTTACCTGCTTAACTACGTATAGTTTTTCTTCAAAAACTACGTCTTTTCCCGTTCATTAACTACATGAAAACTACGTTAATAAACTATATATTGATATTATGAATAATTTTCCTTTGTATGAGGTGTAATAGAGATAATATTGTTACGTTTTTCGTCGGTTCCGTGTGGATAGAAAGTCACAATTTATTTAAACACTAATTAACAAAAGCAATAACGATAAAAGACTTATAGAACTATTTACAAACGATTTATAACTAAGAATTTATTTTGAATTTTAGCGCGTCAACTGCACTTGTCGATTTATAACTGCCCTCTCTAGGCCACAGCCGCCGGCTTTTATACCTACAGCTAAAAGAACTCTAGAATAGTCCATAGATCGTTAGGTGCATAGAGAAGGTTTCGATTGTTCTCGTATGTACTACTCCATTCCAGTGGAACTCGTTTCTTCTCGAATCTTCGAATGAATCATTACGGTGTCTATTCTTTAATGCGATGTTAAGGTCATCCGAGGGCGGGCTATATAGTTAGATTAGGTCGAGTCCACACCGGTCCGCAACAATATGATGTAAATATTATATTTAAAGCCATTTTCTTCTGTTTTCTTAAATACATTATGTGTTTTTAAAGCTTCAACTTATTATAACCTCACCTCAAACCTTTGATATTTGAAAGTTACATACATAGGTTACATAAACTACACCCTCTACATAAACTACATTAACTACATGTAATGTATTTTATGTAGTTTTTAAAAGTAACATGTAGTTTTCCGAACCCTGAGTATAACCCATCAAAACTCAAAATGAAACAATTTAACTATATTTATATCTATATGTTTATTAAAATATTTATAAAAATATAAAACAAGATATTTATTACACATAAAACGTATAACAAAGAACTTTGTCAATCCCAGTCCCCCACATTCAACAACTATTGGTATAAAAATAATCACACACTGTTTTCTGTTTCAAGAAAAACATCAAGGGCAAAAACCTAAGTAACGGTTGTTCTCATCTATTATACTTTAGTTCCAAATATTAATTTGTACAGGTAAGAAAATACTAAAGCGAAGAAAGCTATCTTGATTATCCTGTCGACAACAAATAATCTGAAAAACAAAAACAAAATTAATGTAGATAAAATCTAAAATTTATTACTGGAGAACGGTTGGATCTGATTTTAATGATCTCTGGTTTGAAGGATTTGTCAGGCCTAGCAGAAAAACTATTAAAATTTCGAAACAATTCTCGAAAAAAAAATTGTACAGAACATTAATTTTAAAATAAATTAAGTTGGCACAACTCCGCTATCTTCCGCAATTGACAGCTCATGTAAAGCAAACATATACAGGGTTGTTCACCACATACGACACGAAGTATTGTAGCTAAACGACTAGATTTTTACAAATTGTAAGTTTTGGATTCGTTGAAGGACTATTAGAGCTACAATTTAAAAATATTTTTACAAAATACAGAGTGTCCCAAATAAATAAAAAAATATCAAAGTTGTATTTTTTTAAATGGAACACCCTATATATTATTACATTTTTAGTTTCTACGCTTAAAATAAAGGTAAATTTGATTAAGGTTTATTACACTTAAACCTTACCGTTTTTGAAATATTTTCAATTTTGTGAAATTGCAGTATAAATTTTAAGGCTTCATTTCTCCGAGGGTATCAAAGTTTTTATTACTAAATATTTACTGAAGTTTATTTATTGATCAGTTATTGTGTTGCAATAATAAAAACTTTACTACCTTATACAGAGTGTCTAAAAATTAATTTTAAATAATTACTAGCTTTAAACGGCAATAATTTGTTTAATTTAAATGGAACACCCTGTATATTTTATGAGAATCAGATGCACAATTTAATTGTTTATCAAATTGTATTATACCATTTTTTACCTATCTCTTCAAGTTTCCGTAGAAAATGCATTTTCTTGTAATTTAGAACCCATTTATCAATATACCCATGGAATACTGACATTTTAGATTATTTTAAAAGATGTACCAAATTTTTAAAGAGTACAGATACTAATATTGTCGATATAGTTCGTTTATTTCATTAAAAAAACTGTTTAAATATTTGTTAAAGAGGACCAATTAATATGATTCCAGTATTCAAACTACATTAATTGACTGTTTGCGTTGATTAATAATAATTGCTCCAAATACTAAAAAGCTGAATTATGTATGTGTATTAGACAGTGTGTTAAAAAGTAACACCTTAAAAATGATATTTAATTTTTCGACAAATGCCTATTTATAACAACAGAGACGTTCATTTTCATAACTTATTATTATATTGATTTCTGATTCAAATCCACATTTATTTAGAATCATTTATTAACAAACACAATTAAGTATGTAGTTAATTAGTATTTGGGCGGAAATACTGGTGGTATATTTAATTAATGGTATACTCTTTTATAAAGATTTAAATAGTTTTCTTTTGCATACAAATGGGCTAGTAATATTATCGTTTTACTAAAAACGATAATATTACTAGCCTGTATATTTTGTACATTTGTTGTTTTAAAAACAATCTAAAATGTCAATATTCCATGGGTATATTGATAAATGAGGTCTAAATTATAAGAAAATGCATTTTCTACGAAAACTTGAAGGGATAGGTAAAAAGTGGTATAATTCAATTTGATAGACAATTAAATTGTGCATCTAATTCTCCTAAAATATACAGGGCGTTCTATTTAAATTAAACAAGTTATTGCCGTTTAAAGCTAGAAATAATTTAAAATAAATTCTTAGACACTCTGTATCAGGTAGTATAATTTTTATTATTGCAACAAAAATTTTAGTAAATAAAAAAACTTCAGTACAATATTTGGTTTTAAAAACTTAAGCCTAGAGAAATAAAGCATTAAATTTGTTACTGAAAAAATGGTACAATACAATTTGATAGACAATTAAATTGTGCATCTGATTCTCATAAAATATACAGGGTGTTCTATTTAATGTAAATAAGTTATTGCCGTTTAAAGCTAGTAATTATTTAAAATAAAATTTTAGACACTCTGTATAAGGTAGTATAATTTTTATTATTGCAACACAATAACTGATCGATATATATACTTCAGTAAATATTTAGTATTAAAAACTTTGATATCCTCGGAGAAATGAAGCCTTAAAATTTATACTGCAATTTCGCAAAATTAAAAATATTTCAAAAATGGTAAGGTTTAAGTGTAATAAACCTTAATCAAATTTACCTTTATTTTAATCGTAGAAACTAAAAATGCAATAATATACAGGGTGTTCCATTTAAAAAAATACAACTTTGATATTTTTTATTTATTTGGGACACTCTGTATTTTGTAAAAATATTTTTAAATTGTAGCTCTAATAGTCCTTCAACAAACCCAAAACTTACAATTTGTAAAAATCTAATCGTTTAGCTACAATACTCCGTGTCGTATGTGGTGAACAACCCTGTATAGCTTATATTTAATAATTCAATAATAATAAATCAATGACATACCTGCTAGATATTACTGAAAAAAAAATTTGAAAGGAAAATAGTGGAAAAATAGCATATTCAAATTTAATAGCGATACCAATTAAACTTTTAGTTGCGTAATCGAGGGCACGATTTTTAAATGAATTGTAGATGGACATATTCGGCGCCGGGATAACTAACTGGAATTTAAATTTTCCGCTGTAAAAAATGTCAAGTTGCCACATTTCTTGACATTGTCATTCATTTTGACACTTCAGTTTTGTATTGCGAGTTTTTCGTTTAAATGAATTGTGTTGTGATAATTTAAGCTCAAACATTTTTACTAGCAGATCTTGCAGTCGACCATTATTCTTTTTAGAACCTCTTTTAGTGCGAAGTGTACAAGATAGCTTAATAGCCAATGCAAAAAAAAACCACAGAGTTAAAAATTAAAAGCAAAAACTCACCGCAACCTTATTAGAATATTATTTTGAACGGGAATACCCTATACACTACTGGCAAAGGAATATTAGCAATAGGAGGTTTTCAATGCGATAAAAAAAGATGGTAAGGCTGCAAAATACACTGCAGTGCAACAGAGACGGATAAAGTGTCTTTTCCCTACCATCGTATAGGGGAAGTGATCATAGAAGTGATACGACGAGAGAGCCTCTGCGAGAGGGGGCGCCGGGCGGGTCTTTAAGACGCTTGTGTGGGGGCTACCGCCTACTAATAGAACAGAATCGAAAAAATAGAAACAGGACGGACAGTGTTGCCATTCAATTAAATCGAAATTATGTTGGCTTGTCAAAATCCTAAATCTTCTAATCCCATTATCTTGCCTACTTAATGAAATATTAAATAAAGTACGAAACAATTTTACGAATGTTTTCTCTAGGCACATAACTTCTTTCTAAAACGAAAAGTAACATGCAAAACTTTGATATCATTTCTAAAATAGCAAGTGCAATTCTATGAAATGGCAATACTGTACGATCTTCCTAGCAGTCGCCCCGACACAGTCGGTCGGCGGCGGCGCTTCACAAAGCCGCGGCTGTGACAAAGGAATTAGGCCGAAAAAAACTTTATAAGGAGTAGACGAACAGGGTTGCCGGGTTTGTTAGATTATAATTCCATACGAGAACAAAATTCTCGGTAGATCTTCAACAAAAATTAAAAGTACAGAAACGAAATAAAATATAATATTTAAGTCCAAAATTAGCATTCCTATGTGTCGTAATAATAGATCACTCAAATAAAATACAAATATAATAAATATAACAAGAATTAGAAATAGCTAGGTATATTATTTAATATTAAAAAAAATATTGAATTAAATAATATTAATATATTAATAAAAACATATAAAACTATAACAAGTAGGGATAGCAGTCACAAATTAGTGTAGCAGTCACTTTTTACCTTTGTACAAATTTTGATCAGTGATATCTAAAATTAATTTCATTTCAATGGGAAAGCTGTAGCAACTCTCAACTCTTTTTTCATATTAATATATTTTTTTGACGGGAAAATCACTAAAATATTTGTCCGAATTTAGGTTGTTTCTTAACTTAAATTTTGTTTTTGTTTACATTTTTTGGGGGAAAATATGGGTTCAACTTTAGTAGATGAATGAAATAAAATCTTTTCAAAAGATATCAACTTCTTCGGGCATGTCGCCAATACCGCGCCTAATAAGGAGTAATAAGGATTTTTAGGAATATCTCTGTAACTCTGCAACTAGACAGAACGATGACCTGTATGTGTGTTATTACTAAATAAAATTTAATGAAACAATAATAAAGTCAGATTATATAGATTCCAACGCGGCAGTCGCTTAATTTTTAGTCAAATAAGTCAGCTTTTTAAAAGTGCTTCTATTGTAAAAACTAAAGACGCAGTTGAATATATCGTTAGATTTTTCTTTAAATCGGTAGATCGGTAGCTTACAGACGAAACCGGTAGACCTGGCAACTCTGTGATGAACTGACGGGAGTCGGAATAGCGAGGTGCGGAGGCGCGGGAAGGGAAATAAAATAATGGCGATAAATAAAGGGCAGGGAGATGGGTATCATGAGTGGATGGGAGGTGGCGGAATTTCCAAAATTTGTTGAATTTCCAAAAATCTTATTGGAGTTTGTCTAAGTAGACAGTCGTAGTGGAAGTGGAAACGGGGAAGTTGTTGTCCATCTCTGTTTAAGCATAGACTTTTTATAGGCGTTTCATTCCAATGCATGTAATTCCTATGCCTAGAGATCCATTGCCGGGCCTGTATATCTCTTAAGCGTTGTTAAGGAGGTGAGTTTTGTTGATGTACAATATGTACATAATAACTGTTTATATATTTATAATTAATTTATTTCTGATTAAAAAAAATATGTAAAAGTGGGCAACGCCGCCCGTTGAAGCTTAATCACGTGACGAAAAGTTTAATTGGTATGATACATAGAAGATACAGAAAATACTTGAATCAAAATGTAATCAAGAGCATAGAGAACAAATGACAGTAACTGTCAAATCGATTTGTCTTTATGATTCCAGATCATTTGGTCAATCAGTTATCCGCTCTACTTACTACTAGACTGACAAAAAAAAACCCTCACTTCACTATCTGCTAGTAATTAAATCAAAAACTTACATTTTCATATTTCTTTTGGCTGTGGGTATCATGTCGTCTGTTTCTTTAAACATATGGCGTCTAGCGTACAACATGCACTTTTCTAAATAGTCTTTAATTACTAAACCTTCAGCGTCAACCTGAAATTTTGAGTAAATTTATAGTAATTACTATGTTAACCGTTGTGGTGCGGTCATCTTCATGAAATATCATCCTAGAACAAATACTTAAAAATCAAAAATGGTGCTCAAAGGCACTGGGTTAAGATTACTGCAAGACGAAATATTTCAGTAACGTTTTACTTAATCTAAAATACTATGAAACTTAGAGCTTTTTTCCTCCCTCCAAAGTCTCTATAGAAATGTAAGAATTTGCGGCGTATCTGCGGCAAGGGTTGAAAACTCTTGAAGCTAGATTTGTTATTAAAAACCGCTAGAATCCGCTAGGGGCTATATTGAAACTAAAATTTGCCGTAGCGCATAGTTTTGCATGCGCATAGTTTTCCATACGGCAAATTTTGCAAAATTTGCCGTAGCGCATCAGAAATATGCATGGGCGCCGGACAGGGGGGGCAAGACGGGGCATTTGCACTGAAACAGTAGAAATAAAAGCTATCTTCTTACATCCATCTGTAAAAAAATAATCATTATTATGAAATTTTTATGTGTTACCTGTAAAATAATAAAAAATCTGGTAATTATTGGGAAAACTGGAAATCATCCGATTTTCACCAAAATTATTATACACACTATTTTGAGGTCGTAGATTACGAATCTATTTGTTTCTTGGCGGTCTCTTACCGTTTTTCAGAAAAACGGAAAATTATTTCAACATTGAATTTTTCTTTATTTCGGCCCTATAAAGTAATAATTTCACTATATTTTCCTTATATTATAGTTTATCTAAAAGCTACACTTGATTGGGGATAGAAAAATGTCCAACATTTTACTGAAAAACACTTTTCTTAACAAAATAACAAAGAAAATTGAGACCAAATGGAAGTTTGACATTTGATATATCCTTTCTCTCTCCTATGTAATGAGAGAGATAAATATATTCTAGACCTAATTTAGAAATTTGAAAATTTACAACGTTGCCATATCTTCTATTTTTTCGGGTGATTAGGGATATTAAATAAATTACCTATTATGAGATCGACAATAATTAAATATACACCTATATCCACAAAGTTACGTGGAAGAGTTTTGATTGCATTGGTTTTAACTTCTTTGCGGAGGGGGTTAATTTTTTTTGATATAATATAACAACAAAAGATTAACACCCTCCGCATGGAAGATAACCAATGCAATCAAACTCTTTCGTGCAACTTCGTGGGTATAAATGGTCAGATCTCGTTGGTAAAATAGCAGTTATGGGAAGGAGCCGTTCTTCTGGCGACTGACTTTCGTAATTCCAGAATGAGCGAAAAAAACATGCTAAATTTAGGTTTAGCATTGGCAACGTTGCTTTAAATGCCAGAAACAAATAAGCTTACTTCGGGTTTCTCTTATTACCGATTCTGAACCGTCCTAGAACTGTGATGCGTATGCGCAGAAGGAAATATGAAGACATTATTTCATTTGCTCATGCCCTGCAGAGTTCTAGGACGGTTCAGAATCGGTAATAACATTCTTGTTAAGAACCGAACAAAGCTATAACCTAACATTTTCAGATTGTTTACAAATTTATTTTAGCAAATTTTCCTCTATTATGCATAGAATGGGTTGAAAAAGTAACAGAAAATAGCAAAAACATAATTGATTATTGAATACCTAACAAAATATGTGCTAGAAAACCTTAAAAATATGAGAAATTAAGAAAAATTTGATACTGAAATTATTTTCCGTTTTTCTGAAAGAATGTGTATACCAATTTTGGTGAAAATCGGACGATTTCCAATTTTTCCAATAATTACCAAAAATGTGTTTCAATTTTTTATTCATTTTTACCTTGCCCCCCCAAATTTCAATTCTTCCAATAATGGAAATATGTCCAAATTAAGTAGTGCCAGAACTAAATGCATTTGAGAACCTATATCCTATAGGTAAAAAAATAGGCTTCGATGTAGAACCACTCGCACCAAAAATCTGAAGCGGTGGATTAGAGGCTAATCCAAATCTGAGAAAATTTGAATCAAAGCGATATAAAGCAGCTTATTTTAAGTATGGATCAACGATGCCAAGATGATATTCATGGAGATTTGGTGGAAACTCTCACTTCTAAAAAAATTTTGTCACTTTTGAAAAATATTGCTTCCACCAATAATTTCAGATTATTTTTTTAGTTTCGGGATTATTCTGAAGCCTAATCAAAATTTAGTCAATTGTAAAACCTAGTTTAGTATGTTCGAAATCGTTTGGAAGGGCTCTTAATTTTGAGACTGCCTTTGTCGGCGCCATGGTTTGCATGGTCTGGCCAAATAACCCGACAACTAAATTTTAAATGGTTGTTTTAGCCTGGACGCACACAGAGCAAGAGCACAAAAGCAAAACCGTTTTAGTCAAAAACGTTTTTGACTAAATGTATTTTCCTGTGATGCTTAAAGGGAAATTAAATGGACACACTGATCAGTTCCAAGCGAAGGCAGCTTTAAGTTCGTTATTCACAGTAAGGCTTATCGGCGCGACGTTTTATGATAAAACATTTTTAGTCACGGCCTGTTTTGTATCTGCTGACGCAAATATTTGATTGCAAATGAAACATTCTGATTCGCTTCGAGATATAATGTTTTTATAAAAGGCAAAAACTGACTTCTTGACTAAAATAGTTTTGCTCTTTCTGTGTGCGTCAGCCTGAGTAGATATTCTCTGAAGACTGACTTTTTTGTTAATACTATGTACTCACTTTATACAACTTTTTCTCTGTGCTATTTAATTTTTTTCTCATATGAACTAGGTAATCTGTTTTAAAGTACCATGCCCTTGTCGTATAATACTCGAACATTTCCTGTCCTTTGTGCAGTCTGTTGTTTACTTTGAGCAGTCTAGAAATGGACCAAATAATATAATCAAATTAACACAATAATTCACCACAATATACTAAAGCACATTAATTTTACCATTGTAATATACGGAGTAACAAAAAAAGAACATCTGTACAGTGTGAGTCTTAAATAAGTGCAAAAAATGTTTTTAGGGGTGGTATATTTCGACCCCAGGAACACGCCAATGAATTTTTTTTCGCAAAAAAAGATTTTTGTTTATTTTAAAAAACTTTTTAGAACTACCTGTTCATCGCAAATTTTCCCACCGTATAATTTGGTAATCTCTGATATTACCATGGTTGTGAAGGATGGATTAGATTTTCTGGGTGTTCTTTCTTGTAAATTTAATCTTAAATTACAGTTAAGGGTTGGAACCTTTGGTGTTACACAGCAAAATAAAAACACTAAATCACCACAATACACCAAAACACTTTTACTTTTACACTGGACGCGCGTTTCGCTAACTATGTTAGCATTATCAGCAGATGATTATAATCTGGTTGATTATAATCATCTGCTGATGATGTTAACATGGTTAGCGAAACGCGCGTCCAGTGTAAAAGTAAAAGTGTTTTGGTATATTGTGGTGATTTAGTGTTTTTATTTTGAAATTTAATCTACTACTGTGCTACTACCTATGTTGCCATATTATCAAGAGATAATGCTTTTGAACTAAAAAAAAATCCAAATTTTCAAAAAAAATTTTGGCGAAAAAAATTTCATAATCGTGTTTTCGGGGTCGAAATATACTACCCCTACTTGCTTAAATATATTACTCCTTTTTTGCCACTCGGTATAATATTAATTATCAAAATACGCAAATTTATACTTACACTGGTGGGTATCCTAAGCAAAGCAATAAGCCATCAATAAAAAATGCAGGAATTATTTGAAACAGTACGAAATTGAAATAGTGCCACGCTTTGCTTTTTGTCATCGATCCACCTGGATACCACAGAATACCATTGAACGGTATCCTGTTATAAATTACGTCTTTCCCTAGTTCTACTATTTCTTCCCAGTTTAGTTTTATATCCTCCAAAGGTACGCACAGATTAAATACATATTGTTTTCTAAAATATAAAATACGTATACAGATTTAATACCGTATGAATCGATGATAATTTCGGCGAGGTCAATCTCTAGACGTCATTTATTAAAAATGACAAATAAATAAATGCCTTTACTGTCAAAACATTTACAATTTGTAGACAAAGGTAAACTAAACAAAGTCAACGAACAAAAGAGAATACAAAACATTATACAAATAACATTGTCAATCTTATTGTTTAACATTTATAAATGTTTACACAGTCAAAGAATAAAAAAGTAAAAATAATATTCAAAAACATTTAGTTAGTTTATAGTAAATATCAATAACCTCTAAATAAATTTATTTCGATGTCATTCGTAAATATAGCAATTGCAAACATTAGACCAGTGTTTACAAGATCAAATTCGATTATCAAAATATAATTCATTTACGGCGTAGAAAGCACTGTCTAGTAAATACGATTTCAATGCTTTGTGAAATGAAGAAAATGATGTTATGGATTTGATTTCAAATGGCAGATGATTGTGCATTTTTTCGAGTTGTATAATATTGAACGTTTAACCAACTCTGAGCGTGGGGTAGGTAGATAAAGATTTTGCTCCGCGTTCCTGAGAGGATAAGTGTGAAATGGCCTTGCTTGAGAAGCTGATACATGCTTACGTATTAGGCAAACGGATTCAAATATAAATAAGGAAGGAAGAGTTAATATTTTTAATTTTTTTAAAAAGTCCTGGCAATGAGTTCTGCTGTTTAGTTTTGTTAATTTTTTCGACAAAGCGTCGATATGCATGTCCCATTTCAGAGAATTGTCTACAACAAGCCCTAAGAATTTTACAGATTTTACGACGTCAATGGTGGTGTTGTTAAGTACAAAAGGCTGCAGCTAGTTTTCATATGACAAAGCTTTAGTTTTAGAAATAAACTTGTCAAAATTAACACAATAGGGCTTGGCCTCGCCAAAATTATCATCGATTTTCATTCCCCAATCGTCTTTAACGTCGTTTTTTAACGATCGTATATAGTGCAATTTAATAGCGTTGTTATTTTTTCTTACTTTGTTGTTAAGTAGTCCCAGATGGATATCAGAGTACCGTTTATTGTAGAGTCTGCAGGTACCAGATTGGCAAAAGATTTGCTGTCCAGATACATCGTTCTAATAACTCCTTTTCCTGCTCCAATGAATATACCCATTGGGCTGGTGAGATTGTTGAAGAAACCAGGGATAGGATCATCCAATGTTGGTATAACTAAATCAACATAATAAAAAAATGAAATGATGAATTAAGTTGGTTAGTTGTAAATATCTCTTGAAAAAGGCCTAACAATCCGAAACACAGTAAAATATGTAAACATAAAAATATATTACACTCATTGAGAAAAAAATATATAAAAGCTTGTTTTAATAAAATAATAATATCAGTATTATTTATTATAAAAATAGTCTATGAAACCCATGCTGCTTAAACTATTCGTGCAAAGCTATTTTATTAAATATAAAGAATGTCTACAAATATATTACCTACAGCTGGGCGTATTATTATTACTGGCATTTTTCCTACTTCTTGATTGACTAGGTCCTCAGCAAGGGCTTTGGAAAATGTGTAGGTATTTGGGCAATTTCCAAGTATTCTGTAATTGAATAAAAAATTAGGAAACATTTGTAATAATGGAATATAATAAATTTGCGTTAAACACAGAATAACAGAAGACATCAAAATTAACCAATACAGGTGGTACGAGCACGTACAAAGAATGAAAGAGAGCAGAATCCCAAAGAAAGTACTCAATTGGACACCACAAGGTAAAAAAAGAGAGGGAGACCTAGACGGAGTTGGAGAGAAGGAATAGACGGGGACATCAGAACAAGAGGAATAGATGAAAACCTCTGGACAGACATAGACCAATGGAGACTGGAAATCAGAAGACGGCGAAGAACGTTATGAACTGATTTGTATATATTATATATTAATTTTGGAATACACGTTGTAAATGTAGATTATATGGCAACTTAGTCACTGCGATCTTAGAGCTCTATTGTGCCCCCCTTCCTTGAGTTATAACTCATCATACGGTCTCAGGGCATTGGAAAAAACCAGTATCTGAGACGGTTTTACAGAGGTTAGTTCTCTATCTGCAATATCAGTCGTTCCAAAATTTATGGCACGAATGGTTGTTGCCTCGGTGCACTACTGTTTCTCCATTTTCCCCAGAGAATCTGCATTCGCCGTTGTTTCTAACCTTCATTCTACTGAGGTGTTCATTGAGCTGACAGTGTCCTGTTAGAAACCTCGTAACAATCCGAGAATTGTTCTTACTTAAATCAAGGAAAGTTTTTGATTTTTCTCGGTGGTAAGTTCTGAGAAATTTCTTCGAGTGTCTTAGACCGTTGGGGGATTCCCATTGTAACGTTTTTAGTTCGTTACATGTCTTTTTTATATATAATATATGATGTCTGGCCTATCATCACAGGATTCCGTATCGTTCAGGCCTGATAATTTATTTGACGCGCTTGGCGTAATTTTTACGTTCTCTAGTCCACAACCCTGTTATCGTTTGACACAACCCTGTTATCGCTCTGTAAAGGCGCTGTCAACATCGCTTCTGTCAACTCTCTGTGCTGTGGACTGACTTTTGCTTTTAGCGCTTTGTAGCCTAACCTAACCATCCCGGCTTTTAGAAATGGTGATTATTTAAATCTTGCTGTATAATCTGAATCAGCTGCTATTTCAAAGCAACAGGTAAAGATGAAATATTATCCTTTTAGATCCATATTTTTAGGGTAGTGTTTTGGATGTCCCAACTTAACTTGTATTTGTATTTTGCTGGCACGTTGGCGTCTCTTTTCTTTTGTCCTCCAGAATGTTACATGGAAGAAAGGACAGTTTCTTTGTTTATTATTGAGCCCTCGGAAGTAATTCGAGGTAGGTTCATTTTGTATATTAGACCTTGTTTGATTTTAAAGAAGAGTTTCGTATTTTTAGGGTCTTATGGACGTACATTATCTTATGGACGTACATTATCTTATGGACGTATATTATCTTATGGACGTACATTGTCTTATGGACGGACTGTGTCCAAGGTACGGGTAGTGTTCCCCTGTACCGTTATCTTATGGACGGATTGTGTCCAAGGTATGGGCAGGTGTCCCATATCTATGTATTGATTCCAAGGTTCGGGCATTATCCAAGGTCCTAGTAGTGTTCCAAGGTACGGGTAGTATCCCCATATTGCCACAGTATGGATACAGTGTAAGCCCCATGCTGCTTCGCTCCCATATCTAAGCCTAGTCAGTAGCTACGGCTGTAGTGATTCATGGTGTCCTCATTCTGGCCCCTTTTGTTGTTTTGGCCAACAGGATCGTCGACAGACAGTACAGAGATGCGAGCCCACCTCACGCTGTTACTGTTTGAAGCAAGATTACATAAAGAACAGCTAAGTGTAGATTTAAGTTCTAGTTTTACATTTAACATTTAAAACATTTTCAGTCTTAAATAATAACGTACATCTTAAGTAATATCGTACAGACTATGTTTAGTGGTTAGATTGTTAAGAACATTCATGTCGATTTAATATTTGAAATATAATTTAGATCTTAGGTTTCATTGCATTACGTCTTGTAATGGTATTATTACTTTATAGATATTATTATTGCACTGTTTTAACAGATGAATAAAAACATAGATTCTAGAGTTCTACGGATTGCAACATCTTCGATTTAACATCATATAAAATATATCAAATTAATTAAAGTACTACATTTCATATATTCTCTTAAACTTTACATGTCTTGTATTTTATCGTAGTTGTTTTCATAGATATTTAGTACAACTCTTAACACCATTTTTTTTGACATATAACCACTATATATTTATTAGAACTTTACAATGTCATGTACCAGCAAAGAACATCATGAATAAATATAGTCATTAGTTTTAAGTAATATACAACTGTGTTTTCTTTCTCTGTACATGCCTGGCGCCCAATATCTGTATTTTTTTGTTTATTGTTATTGATTAGTTTTCTCTCTAGTGAAATACCTTATCCACGACTGCTCTCCGATGAAAAGCTGCCGTTCGCAGTGGTAATGTTTTATAAAAAACGCTACACCATTCCAGGTTACGGATGGAATCTTTCAGGTTCATGAGTTCTGCTTTAAGTTGGCTTCCACTTGGGAAGCGGAATTGTTCTGATTCAGTTAGTGGAGTGTTCGCTCCCTTTCTAGCTATATCCTTTGTTTTTTCATTACCCTCTATTACTTGGTAGGCTGGCACCCATGGTAGGAGGACTTTAGGCATTCTTAGACCAACTTCGTATTGATGAATACTGATTTGATCGCTTTTAAGACTTCTCGACGTTTATAAGATGGTTATTTCTTGTTTTTGATTCTAAGAGTTCCCATCTAAGATAAGCATCTTTCGATAGCGATTTCCGATTCTGAAGGTTGCTGGGGTAGGTGCCCAAGGCTACGGAGTATTTAATTTTCGGTCCAAATACAACTATATACCACTTTATGATATGGTCTTTTAACTACTGAGCAAATGTTTCTGTCTTCCAATTATTTTTGGTGCTCAGTACTACAGAAAGGTGTTTCTCTAAGCTGTACATTCATGGTATGACATCCACTGGGAGTTTGAGGGTGCTAAACAAGGTCCGGAGCTAACAACTCTCCAAATCATAGATAACAAAAAATAACCATCTATTTTCCCAGTACTGTTTCCGTCAATGACCATTATAATCATTTTCGTCTAGAATTACTACTGACATTGCGGTATATTTCCCGAATATCGATTATTATAACACGAACATAAATGAATTGGAATTAAGTTATTAAAAGAAAGTGAATAAATACTAACATACTTTTTTGAAAATCCTTCTAGTGCGTCATCACTGATCCAACTTAAACCATTTAATACTTCGTTGGGATTAGCCGGAGGTGGATAGGGTTTTTCGTAAAGTATCTTTTCATGCGGAAAGGCGTACGCAGTAGACACGTGGATAAATAGCTGAAAACAAAATAGAAATTTGTAAATTAATATCCAATGAATATATCAGCTATGTTTGATACCAAATTTGAAAAGAAGAAACATGCTAGATATCCAAAAATAAAAAATATATTTTTCAAAATTCACGGACAATATCTTCTCCTGGTGGATCTTCATCTATATATTGTAGAATGTAGAATAATGTATGCGAGGGAGGTTAATCACCGCGACCTTACATATCTATTGTGTGTCCCCCTTTCTTGAGTTATAACGAGTTATAACTCATCATTTAGTCTCAGAGCTTGACAAAAGCCAGTAGTTGAGACGGTTTTATAGAGGTTAAATCTCCGATATCAGTCGCACGAAACTTCATTGGTGCAATAAAACTGTCTCAGATAATGGCTTTTGTCAAAGCCCCGAGCGTGTATGATGAGTTATAACTCAAAAAAGGGGGACACAATCTAAGTCCGCCGTGATTAATTTTCCTCCTTCCATGCAATCTACAACAACAATATCGGTGTTTAAATTCTTGTGAAATACTTTACACTTTTCATTGACATTTTTCTCGAATCATCCTATATTATGAATCGTATAAATGGTTGGTATATAATTGGCATGTAAAACCATACAGAGTAAATAAATATTTGAAATTTCAGAAAATTCTTAATATAGCTGAATTAACCTACTTTTACGTATCTCGTACATACCGACCAATGCGCTGTTACTTAATGCTTATTACTTCGTAGAGCCCTTTTCTCTTTTAATAGAAAGCGATCTAGATAAATTTCAAACTAATCAAATAAAAAAAAGCATGATCAATATAATGGATACAAAGTGAATATGCTTTTATTTAATAATAAAACGAGTTTGCATTTATGAATATGCATACCTATAGTAGGGGAGCTCAAGTAGGGATTTACCAATTTTTAACTAAAAGGGAGACACAACAACCCTTTTATAAAATACTATTTGTTTACAATCGTACATACTTTAACACTTCTATATGAATGAGTCAAAAAGAGATTGATGCATAAATGTGACAACGCTGTTGAATTTCGTGTGCATTTCGGTCTACAAGTTCAAAGTGTTTTTTGATCAACAATCCTAGAAAGTAATTTTCATTTAAATTATGATTTATTTGCTTTAGCTTGCCTTAGTAGTAGAGCGCTTTATCTGTTACTCGTAGATGTACTACCTTTTCAATCACTCTACAATAAATGAAAAAAACGATATATAAAACGTTGTATTAATTGGAATGATTGGTTACGTGATTATACATTTTTTCGAACAGTTTTATCGACCGATTTGGCCAATTTATCGTTGAATTGCAGAAATATATATAAGTCCGGTTCTACAGCGTGATCCGCCCTCCGGTTCCTTGCCGCCATTGCCTTCTGTCCATCCAGTCATCGGCTTGTAAATTGCGCAATGAAATTGCCTTTGTTACCCCCTTTAACCATGTCTCTCGGGGTCTTCCTCGTTTTATTTTTCCAGTTGGGATCCATTTCATTATATTCTTTGGTAGCCTCTCTTCTCCCATTCTGTTTACATGCCCATACCAGATTAATTGTTTTTTTGGATTTCCTCTATGATGGTGATCTCTTTCTTCGTTATTCTTCTTATTTCTTCATTTCGCACTTTTTCCAATTTTGATTTTCTTGCCGATCTTCTGAGGAAGTCCATTTCAGTTGCTAAAAGCTTTCCTTCTATGGACTTGCTCATCTGCCATACTTCAGCGCCATAAGTAAGTGTGCTCTTAACTATAGTGTCACATATGCGGGTTTTTGTTGTGGTATTTATATTTTTTTGCCAAGGAATAGAATTTAGTGCCCCTGTAATGTTTCTGGCTTTGTTGATTCTATTATTGATGGTATTGTCGCTTTTTCCATTATTATGTATGTTGGTACCTAGGTATGTGAATTCTGTACATGGTTTTATTTTGTTTCCGTTTTCCATTTCTAGGTCTTGTCCTTTGTTGCCGACGCATAGATATTCTGTCTTTTTAAAATTTATTTGTAAACCTCATCTATCATACCCCTCATTTAATTTTCTTCTAAAACATGTACTCAATGTCATCTACATCTCGGGCCAGTATTACTTGTTCGTCGGCGTAGTGAATGGTATATATTGTTTTATTTTCGAGTGGTATGCCCATTCCACTACATTTTCGTCTCCATTGTTCCAATGCTGCATCTAAGTAAATATTGAATAAAATTGGAGATAGACCACATCCTTGTCGAAGGCCCTTACTTATATTAAATGATGTTGTGAGTTCGGCTCCAATTTTAACTCGTGCTAGCGGGTTCTTGTAGATTTCCTTTATTGCTTTTATTAGGGTAATATTTATTGGTGACCGGTTGAGTACGTGAAAAAGTTGTTTTATTGGGATAGAATCATACGCTTTGGTTAGGTCTCAAAATCATAGGTATCTCCACCTATATATATATATATATATATATATATATATATATAGAATATATATATATATATATATATATATATATATATATATATATATATATATATATATATATATATATATATATATATAGGTGGAGTTTGAATTGCAGAAATTGCAACGAAAAATCTGCTAGTTTATGTCATAAAGGAAATTTTTTGGCAGAAACTTTGAAACTTTGGCAGATACATTGCTGACAAATAATTTGGGACGATAATTTCGTTTAGTACACTAACACAGCGATAGACAAATCTGTCGGCAATAATTACAGTACGTCTGTTCGTTCTGTAGCTACGGGGTATCCGTGAGAGGGGAAACGATATTCTCTCGATGTTTTTCGTAAAAAATTAGACGACGCGTCCCATCAATAAAAATTCGAGAAATTTGCAAGTAGCCAATAAAATGAGTGGGCGGAGCGATTTGCGGTGACGTACTCGTCAAGTCGACGTACAGTACGTCTGCTGGATCTGTGTCTATGAAAGGAATGCGGACAAAAAACAGTTAAATAAACAGCAATATATTTTATACGTCGACTTGACCAGTACGTCACCGCAAATCGCTCCGCCCACTCACTTTATTGGCTACTTGCAAATTTCTCGAATTTTTATTGATGGGACGCGTCGTCTAATTTTTTACGAAAAACATCGAGAGAATATCGTTTCCCCTCTCACGGATACCCCGTAGCTACAGAACGGACAGACGTACTGTATAAAATATATTACTGTTTATTTAAATGTTTTTTTGTTCGTATTCCAAGTAAACCATATGTGAAAATGTCAAAAGTTGACATATGATAATATGTCATTCTATTTAGAATGTCATATTCTATCGAATAAAGCAAAAAATTACTGACGGTGTCGTTTAAAAATAAATAATTTGAAGTAGTTTCCGGTAAAACAGGAAGTGACCAAAAAACAGTTGAATAGGTCAGTCAATTCAATTTATGTCATATACCCAAACCAGTCAATCCAATTTATGTCATATACCCAAACCAAATCTCGTTTAGTTATCTGAAAAAATAAAAAAGTTATACTTTTGAGACGCACTCGGTATACCTACTCGGATGGGCTTCGCAAGAACGTCCATGGAAAATTTATTATTTTTTGGGTCTAGAACGATATTTATTAATTTATTTATATGAGTTTCATCCTGTGTATTAATATTTAATATACAATTTTGGGTGTTTATATTTTTCAAGTATCTTTTTATATCTCAAAAACGACTTACTTTTAGCGCGTCTTAATAAACTTACGTGTTAAATACCCAATCTACCGATTTCTACCGAATTTTGACCAAGTTATCTAGCAAAAATACAGTTTTGGTAGTCACATGATGCTTCTCGGGCTCCCCTACTAATACTTCTTACGTTCTTTTTCAATTTCAGCATTAAAAACATCGTTAAACCAATCGTTAACATCTCCAGTTGTTAGCGATGGATAAAGATTTCAAATAGGTAATTTTAATGTGCCGAAGTCAATATTTCATATTAATCATGTCGTTTATTGCACCTGCATAAAATTAAACTGACATGTAATATAATACTAATTATGACATATGAATTAATAATAAATGCATATACCGTATTATTATTACGTACATAGTAATTTTGAATATGATAAAATCTGCGCTTATATTATATTCGCGCGCTCTTTGAGTTAATCTATATTAATAATCATTTGATTTTACTTATAATATTTATTTTATTTTTTATTGAAATATTTATCTATGTTAACAGGGATACTCAACACTCTTTTTGTTTAGTACATTATTTTGTACATTGCTTTTCCATCATTGTTACACTGCATCCACAAATTAATTTTATACCGGGTGGTTAAACGTCGTTATAAACATAGGAAATCGCATGAAATTTTGAACTGTCCGGATATTGGCTAGAGGCTTTGAACAAAAAACATTTGATTTAAAGATAAGTAAATCATTATAATATACTTGATACTGTATCTGATGTGGCACCAATATCCTCTGGCTGTGTGCTAAGAAGTAAATTTTCATGCATATATAATAGCATATAGGTATAAGTCAGTAGTTTTATATAGGTACAGACGAAAAGTTATAAATATTTGAAACAGTTAAAACACATGTAGGTGACGCCCCCTACAAATGGGAGTCATATTGACATCAAAATCAAATTTCTCATATCAAAAAACTCGCAAACACCAATTTTCATCAAAATATTGACGTTACTTCAGAAATTATTTGTAAAAAATTGAAATAAAAATAAAACTTCTACGCCCTGTATCTCCGAAACTAAGCATTTTAGGACATACATTTATACGAACATTTTCACTTATTTTTATATGCAGAATATGCTGCCGAAGTTTCCGGAATACAATTCGGACCACCCTGTATATTAAAACAGCATTATATGTCACTTTTTCAAACATGTCCTTCAAATCCTTCAATTTAATAGCTCTTAGTAAGAAGTTTCACTTCATAAATGCGCACATGGTGCACACACTGCTTTTTTTAAGTTCTATATGTTTGATGGGATTCCTTTTAAATTTACACATTAATTATTTTAATTAAATTATTAATTAAATTATTTCATGTAGATAATTTTACTAAATCAGGTGTTCGTATTTTATTTTTATTTAGAATTAAATGGATGTTATTGTCACATAGCTATTCCGACCCGGTAAAAGAATTCTCATTAATAATTTATCCCTATATTTATAGAAAATGACCTAACTTAACTACAAGACATAATATTGAGAGTTGTTTATAATATTTTTGAAAAAAAATAATTTGTACAAGTTTCAAACGAATAAATTAGCATTATTTTGCATTTATTCTTATAGGAGCGTTAGATTTAAGAATTTGACCAGTTTGATTCAGATTTGAGAATTTAACCTTTCTTAAAGATAAACAAGCATAAAGATGGTTTTGTCGATGGTCGTAGATATTTTTGTTTTTATTATTGCTACAGGTTTACATTTTACAGGTATAACTCATCAGTTGATTTGAGTTTAGATACGATCAATCAATATTTACATTATTTTCTATGATATAAACTTTTTCTTGATTTTTTTCGAGACTTAAGCCCCGTTCTCAGAACATCATATTGTCGAGCGACACGTCAAAAGAACCAATGAGATTTGCACAAAATTTAAAATTGACAGCTGTTTGAATTTTGTACAAATCTGATTGGTTCTTTTGACGTGTAGCTAGGGCTTTAAGCTTGATTTTCATGCATCCGTTGTCCGACTAATTTTATTCATCTTCTTTCTCTGCTTATCCATTAATGGATGTTTGCGACCACACTTTCCATGGCTTCCCTATCTCTGGCTGTGTAGATCAACGTCTGTATGTGACTAATGCCTGTCCACTGTCTTACGTTCCGCAGCCACGACATTTTTAATTTTATTGGTTGAATTTAAATACTTCGATTGGTTAGAAAATTACGCAGTTTTTAAATTGATTGCAATTTCATGCCTCCGTTCATCGGATATACAAATTGCTTTTGATGGGTGTCATTTTATCTTTTCATATCCATAACGACTTCGCTGTTTTACTTATAGTCTAAGAGCTAGGTTTTCGAGAGAGAATTTTAAGAAAGCTGTTTTTTTAATATATCTTTTGGTATGCTCTCCTGAACAGAGTGCACCGTCTGGCTGCCGGTAGACGTTGCGTTCACTACTGCAAATCATATCTGAATTCAAGATCTGTTCACTACTGCGCAAATTCTCATCACAAATTCGCCCTGTATTTCAGGAACTAAGGAGGCTAGGACAAACCTATGTCTAGCATATTTAGTTTCATAAAAAAGTAGCAAAGTAATGTGAAAATCGCATAATTGTACTTCTAATCATAAACGAGAAATCCCATAAAACACACAAAAATCGGATACCCTGTGCAGATGTGATGCGCAGTAGTAAACCGCAGTAGTCTACCGGCAGCCAGACGGTCCGCACTTTGGTCAGAATAGCATAGCAAAATATACATTAAAGTACCAGCTTTCTTATAATTCTTGTTTTCCCGATGGTGCCAGCTCTTGTACTATTATATTTTTATTAAGGTTAGATTAAATTTGTCAGAAAAGTGTGAAAAGGTCCGTTATCGTACGATCTTTCTCCGTTGACGGGCCGGAGTAAAACATTTACGGATGAAAAGTGGCGCGAAAACGCTATGACTAATGACAGCGCCGTCGGACCATCATATCAAGGATAACGGATGCATGAAAATCAAGCTTTATTCTGCTATTCGGGGCAGAGACGAATTCAACAAATCCGAGATCATTAAAATCGAACTAGAAATTATTGTTTTATTTATAGTATAGATTTTGGGTAAATGTCTTTGGTACTCACTTCGAGGTGTTTACATCCCTTGGCAAGATCCAACATATATTTAGTACCTCTGGTGTTCATGATAACGGCATCCTTAAGTGTATCGTCGAACCTGGTAGTGGCGGCCGAATGAAAAATGAAGTTTACTTCGTTTTGAAGTAGCTCTCGATCTCCTTCGCTTATTCCTAGGTTTTCCTGAATCACATCGCCCACTATAATTTGACACTTTTTAACACTGTCCGGATTCTCTGATTTTAGTTTCGAAAAAATCTAAAAAACAAAAATAATTGCCTAAGAAGTTTGACACCAAAAAATATAGTCTTAATCATCAAAATTATAACATGATTAGAAATTAGAACTACATGTTTGCAGTGGGTTTAAAAAAATGTCACGGTGGATTGTAATAGATTTGCATAATTTCATATTGTAAACTGCATTCAGAACCTGGCAATTAGTGGAATAAATTAGTGGTTTTAAAGCTTCATTCAGAACCTCGAAATTAGTGGATTAAATTAGTAGTTTTGATTGAAGGATAGAGTAGAAGTGAGCCGTGCACAGCACCGATGTCTATAGGTGTGGCACACTGCACACGCGCAAACTACAACCACAATAAATAATAAAATACACTACAGTTTCAATTAGCGGAGAAGCTTGTTAATTGCTAATTTAAATGTAAGCATTCAGAATGTCATAATTAGTGGTAGTAATTTTCAATTATTGGAAAAAATTAACAAACTTTTGACTTTTCCGCTAATTATACTTCAAAATTTGCGAGGAATGTCATTTTGGCCTTTGATTATCACCCGTCAAGAAAAATTTTGGTTAGAAATCAAAAGTTTATTGTTTTATAAGCTAAATATTATGCGTTCTCTATGGATACAACAGACTACCGCAAGCTGTTGCTGGGATATTTTATTAATTTTAATTGTGTTTTTTAGACATTGTGAATGATCGTAAACTAAAAAGTATAAAGTGTAATTGAAACCACTAATTTATTCCATTAATTCGGAGGTTCTGAATGAAGCTTAATTACACTTTATACTTTTTAGTTTACGGTCATTCACAATGTCTAAAAACATAAAATTAATAGAATATCCTAGCAACAGCTTGCGGTAGTCAGTTGTATCCATAGAGAAAGACTAATATTTAGCTTAAAAACAATCAACTTTTGATTTCTAACTACAATTTCTCTTAACGGATGATAATCAAAGGCTACAATCATGCCAAAATGACATTCATTGCAAATTTTGAAATATAATTAGTGGAAAAGTTAAAAGTTTGTTAACTTTTTTCTACTAATTAAAAATTACTACCTCTAATTTTGACGTTCCGAATGCCTACATTGAAATTAAAGGAACAAACTTCTACATTTAGAACGTGGCAAGTAGTGGAATAAATTAGTGGTTTCAATTAGCGTAGAAGTTTGTTTCTTTAATTTCAATGTAATCATTCAGAACGTCAAAATTAGTGGTAGACATTTTCAATTAGTAGAAAAAGTTATTAAACTTTAATTTTTCCACTAATTATACTTCAAAATTTGCGAGAAATGTTATTTTGGTCTTTTTAGCTTCCGCCAAGAGAAATTGTGGTTAGAAATCAAAAGCTGATTGTTTTATAAGCTAAATATTACGCTTTCTCTATGGATACAACAGATTACTGGAAGCTGTTATTAGGATATTCTGTTAATTTTAATTGTGAATGATCGTAAACTTGTTCCACTAATTGCGAGGTTCTGAATGAAGCTTAACTGTAAAGAATTATTGTAGAGCTTAGGGGGGGGGGGACTGGACTGTATAATGAATTTTTTAATGGTTTCAGTTATTCTTGGTTTCACATATTAATTATAATAAAAGAAACTTTGGTCCTTACGACGTGATTAAATATGTCGTTCAGTCTTTCAAACGATGATTTGCCTTTCTTCTGCCTGACGAGTAAATATAACTTCTTTACTTTGGTCACTCTCAATAACTTCTCTATTAAGAGTTTCCCTAAAAATCCCGTGCCTCCCGATATGAAAACTGTTTTATTTCGAAACACTTCACCTATTCTGTCAGTTTCCTTGGACATTGTGCTACTTGGTCTGTTTCAATCCTGCAAGAAAAAAAAAGAAATTTGAAATATTTTAATTTTACAAGAGAAAAATTTCTTTTTTTTAGAAAAAAAATATTTTATTTTTTTTAAACTACTTCTTACAAACACCAAATAGTTATTACATTGATTTAAGTAAGAGAACTTAAATCTAAATTAATTAAACTAATGAAAAGTAATACTACTGTACAGGGTGGTCAAAATTTGGTTGTTTTGACAAAGAAAACTATTTCCTGACTAGATAGAGAAAAACCGACAAAGATATTTTGAGCCGTGAAATTCAATGAAAACCGCATCTTTTTCAAAACGAAGATATTAAAAAATATAATAATATAATAAATACCCTTAACCACCATATTTTTATAACACGGTATCAGTAGCTCTCTTGATTCTGACCATTTTAATAACAAATAAAATAGAAGTAATTTATTTATTCTAATATCGATAATATACCAGAATACCATAATACCAAGGGTATATTCCGTTGCTTACCTTGGTTATGGTTTTATGTTCCGTTTCAATCGGTTCCCTGAAAGTTTTCTACGGAACACGGTTTCTGAAAAATTCGGTTATAACTGTCACGAAACTAACAAGCGCGAGAAGGCTGGTTTTCTGGTTTTGTTTGTCAATTAATGTCATTTATGTGACAGAAATTAAGCAAATATTGGAAGTTCGAGTGAAATTCTCATTTAATTTCTAAAATTTGTAATTATATTTTGTATTTACATCCAAAAGCACTGGAGGTAGGCAGTAAAAGTAAATAAATTTCATTAACTAAATAGAATGAATTTTTAGGACCATTTAAACTTATCATGCAGCCATTGTTTCTTAAAGTCAGGAACATTTAAAGAAAACATGAAAAACAAGACAACAAGTAATCGTGAATGTTTTGTAAGCTATAAAAATATAAATAATGATTAGATTTGTTTATTTATTATTGATCTGTTTTAATATTGGACCTACAAATCTTCACTTGAGCTGTCTAACGAGTTTAGCAGTTTTTTAATAAAATACTTTTCAATATTAAACTCCATTGAAAGGAAGAAGCAAACGTAAAAGCAGAGAATAGGTACATTAAAAATGCATAAAAGATAAATTATATAATAGAGGTATTGAAAATTAGAAAACGTTTTTTATTTTATTTGACGTTTGCAGTATTTTACCAAACCGTTCCGTATCAAACAGACATTTTTCAGGAACCGTTCTTTACTCTCAAGTGTATTAATATCTAATAATTAAGATGACAATGACAGTGTGCGCAAGGTATTGTGACTGTGGAAAAAATAAACCTGGATTAGTCGGAATTTTCTCTTTTGATTGGTATATTATTAATTTCTTTTGTGACAATTTTATTTTATATCACATTTTAACATATTCATCATTTTTTTTTTGGAGGGGTAATTACCTCCATTACCCTTCACGTATATGCGCCCCTGGATCGTTAAAATTGCTGTAAATCGTTATTGTCTTTTTTAAATGCATATATATTTTAATATAGATAAAGTTATTAAGATGAAATAAAAGCTATCTAGAAATATGCACATTAATGATAAAAAATACGGAGGGAGGCACGTATAGCCGCCCATACTAAAATATGTTAAAAAGTTGGTAGGCAGTTCTTTCAGTTCCAAAGTAAAGAAATTTTTCCATATTTTTTTATCTCAAAAACTGCGACTTTGACTGATTTTGATGTTAATATTATTCCTAATCTTAAATTGAAACCCGCGTTTCGCTAGTTACTGTAATTTTGGAGTTACGATTTTTTTAAATTTTTAACCCTCTCCCATATCCCCTTACCAACCCCCACCCCCACCAAAAACTAATGGCCAGATTCTCGGGTGCCACAGTATTTTTGTGCCAAATTTGGTTAAAATCGGTTTAGCGGTTTTTGAGTTATCGTGTTACAGACAGACGGAAAGACGGACCTTAATAGCCTACCAGATTCTAAGAGAAGAAATAAAAGTGTTTTGGTGTATTGTGGTGATTTAGTGTAATTTTATTTTGCTGCGTAACACCAAAGGTTCCAACCCTCAACTGTAATCTACCAGATTGCCGATCTTAATAGCCTACCATACTTGTTGGTATGGTCGGCTAAAAGTGGTTGTTAAATTAATTACTTTAATAAACGATTTCGCATAGTGTGTTTGTTCAATCATTCAAGTTGTAAAATTGTATATTTTTAATACTTATGCAACCGAATCTGAAAGTAATATTTTAACTACAATTTATTCATATATTACAATTTTTATTAACTACCTATCCTAATCATATAAAATTTATCACTTTTATAAGAAAACAAGTAGAACCGCTTTCCATTTTAGATGAATAGCCCTGCACTATGTGTATAATTCTCCTTTCTCTCACACTCTTATTATTATTACTATCAGAAAATAAGAATTAGCAAGTTATTACTTTCTGCCCTATACTTGTCAAGCCGTAGACGATATATCTATGAAATTATGAGTCAAATATACCTAGTTATGTCAGAGTTAATAATCTATCGAAATTATTAATGGATGCAATTTTTAAGGAATTTTAATAAGTAAAAGGTGTAATGGTGCAATGCGTTTTAGTCATGCAAAGTGAGAGTACTTGATTTAAAGTGATACCAGATCAAATTACAAAAAAATAGCTGTATTTACATATCAAGTACAAAATGAATTTTGGTTTCGTAAGAACTAGTATGTCTATTTACAAGATTTAGTACGAGAGCTAGCAACGTCGGAAAAACAAGTATTTTAAGACATCTGGCTCTTTGATATATCTTTTACTATGCTCTCTTGAACAGCATGCGGCCCGTCTGGCTGCCGGTAAACGATGCGTTCCCTACTGCGCATTAAAAGAAGACCCTTTATTTTTATTAGTTCTTCAAATTCTAGTATTGAATATAAATCGAACATGTCTCCATAGCGCAGTGCGTGGAGTTTCCGACCACGAACCGCTGATTCAGAGTTCGAATCCGGGTCAGGTCAAAGACTTTTTTTTTCGTTTATATTCTGATAGTAAAGTATTAAATATTTGTTTTTTTTAAATTACCAGAATTATTTAAGAATTTTAAAATGGTAAAAAAAACAAGGTACGCCACTGATTTTAGTTTTTCTTGTTGTTGCGAAATAGTGTAAGCAGTTTAATGCTGATTAGAAGTTGCCTCTTAATATTTTGTCGATTTCGGCCTCCTAGATGTGATAAACCCAATTTTGTTAATTTGCCTTGATCCAAGTCTAATAGCAACCTTTAGAAAAATTTAATATCATTAACTTGCGAAAGTTTTAAATAAATAATCATTGATTCCTATAAACATGGGTATGGAAATGCATAGTTACAGGATGTTAAAACTTCTTAAAATTATTTTTTTTTTTAATTATCTTAAATACCATTATTTCTTTATTTGAAATTGCTGTAGGTTAGACTAATACTAATAATAAGTAATAGTAATAATATTTATTAAAAAAATAGGTAAATTATATATAGTTTACTACCGTGTACCCGCGACTTCGTTCGCGTCGAATTAATCATTTGTAATGATGATGATAAAGCAAATAATTTCCATTAACATTCAAACTGGATAAAATTTTCTCACATTTATGTCAGCATGAGAAAAAACAATCGAGAAACCCCTCCTTATCGAACCTCTACACCCCACAGTCAATCCGTTTGCCAAAAATCAGCTTTAAACGTCGATTTATAGTATATATTTTTTTTTCTTTAAGCAGAATCGTTATTACTCATTGGTCATATTTTATGAAACACCCTGTATACATTTTTAAAAAATCTTAAAATGTGTAAAACAACAAAATAAAATATATTACGTGTTTAAGAGTTTTTCCGAAAAACTGACCGGTTTTATTTTTTTTTATCCCCTTAGAATTCGAGTTTCGAAAAATCCCTTCTTATCGAACTCTACACCCTAAAGTCAATCCGTTTTCCAAAAATCAGCCTTTTACGTCAAGCACTTTAAGCAGGATCGTGATTAATCAATGACCAGATTTTTCGAAACACCCGGTATACGAAAAGTATAAGTAAAGTTTATTTCTCTGGCTTGAAAGTCAGCACAAGAATTAACTCTGAAAAGTAATGTACAGGGTGTTGACAAACTTTTTTATTATAGCATGCATATTTACATTAACATAACATTTTATACCCAAGAATCCAAAAATGAAATAAAATTCCGGGTATTCCATAAGAAAAAATATAACTTTGGTTTGGATCTTAGTTCTGACATACCTTGTACATTTCAAAATAATTGTAAATTATGCACATTGCCTCTCTACATATACCCATAAAATTTTTGTTTCTACATCTTTCCGTTTTCGTATAATCAACTGAGGCGAATGAGGTGCACCACCCTGTATACAAATGTCTGACACACTATTGCCGGACCATGTATCTTATAAAAAGGTATTGTTTTCGAATTGTATTGTTATTAAGTCTAAATTTGACAATTAGTTTTAAAAAATGTCAAATGACAATGTCATTGTTACGTTTGAATTGCCGCATTGATGCGTATGCTCAATATTTACTCACTCATTCTTGTATGTTTAATGATAGCCAACCTAGTAATTCAGGTCTACTTTTTCGTATTTTTAGCTAAGAAACATTTAAGGGACAATCAGTGTCCAAATGCTTGATTCTGCTTTAAATTTGTAAGTATATTAATTATTAATGTATTTCAGTTGATTTTAATGAAAACCTTTTTAAAGTGAAAAAGTCCTAGTTTTTATGCCATCTGTTAACATTACTTTATCTATTAGGATAAAAAATGGGTCAACTTTCGTTTAGGTGAAATCAGTTATTAGAAAAAAAAAATTGTCTTTAAAAAGCTACTGTGAGTCATGGAAAACACAAATTTTCCTGCGGAAATGCGTAATTCCCAAATTTCGCACTTTAGAATAACTGAAATCAGCTATAAAAAAATACATTTTGCGTTTTATTTTTAATATTTTTCTGAACATATAACTACAAAAATTTTCCTGCGGAAATAAGCTGTTTTTATTTTCTAAGGAAATTTATTAGACTTTAGAATAGCTGAAATCAGTTATATAAAAAATAAATATATTTTTGCCTTTTAGAAGCATTCACGAATTGAGGTAAATAAAAATTGTCCTGCGGAAATAAACTGTATCCATTTTCTGAGGAAATTTAATAGACTTTAGAATAGCTGTAATCAGTTATATAAAAAATAAATATATTTTTGCCTTTTAGAAGCGTTTACAAACTCAGGAAAATAAAAAATGCTTGATTTTCATTTTTCATTTTTGTAAGCATATAAAAATTATCTTTTTATCACTTTTGAACCAAAAAATTTAAAAGTGTCTAAAATGCTAACCAATCTAATAATAAATCTAATAATATTTTTACAAAATCACAGTTAATTATTAAAATAAAAAAACCACAGCTTAACACCCTCCACATAGAAAATCTAACCAAAGCAACCCAAATGCTAACCAATCTAATATTTTTGCAAAATTACAGTTAACTATTAAAATATAAAAGAAAACTGCATGATCCAATGATTTTTTGTTTTGAAGCACCCCTATTTACGTAAAGCATTAATAAAAAACAAGAATAAGTGCAACATTCCGAGGTACTTATAGTTTACAAGAACCTATATTATCTATTCTACAAGAATTGTTATTTCTCCGAAAGATGTTTTACCCCATCCAGCACCCCTATTCGCTCCCGGGTCCTGTAAGCTTCTAAACTGAAAAATGTATGAAAAACAAAGTGCACAAAATGACATTGACACATTTCCGCAGGAATTTTTTTGTATTTCTTTGCTCGTACAGGCTCGTGTAAAACAAATTTCAGTTCATTTTTCATGTAACTGATTTCCGCTATTCTAAAGTCAAAGTATTTTTTTATGTAAAATAAAAATAAAAAATTCCGGCAGACACTTTTTTGTGTTTTTATGTTTAGAAAAATGTCTAAAACACACCCGGAAGACTAGTTTTGATGTAACAGATTTCGGCTATACTAAAATCCGAAAAATGAAAATGACGCATTTCCGCAGGAAACTTTTTGTATGTTTGTACTACTAACACCTTCTAGAACGCATATATAAAGTCATTTTTTATATAACAGATTTCAGCTAAACGAAAGTTGAGCCTAAAAAAGTACTACTAGCAGTGCCCTCTACCCTAATAAAACGTACTCTTTGAACTTTCAAGGCTGTAACGGATTTTTACACATTTTGAATTAAAAGAAGAGCTTTTATGTCACCTGTTGAAATTATTGTATCCATTAGGATAAACCGAAGTTATTTATACAATTTTTTTTGACACACTGTATGTTTGTTATACATTATTTGTAATATTTATTCATTCTTTTATTCCAGATTATTATTCTCTCTTGTGAAGACCTCCAAATATACGCATCTGTTTCAACGTTGATAACTAAGTATAATTAGGAGACATCAAATTAAACATACATTTAGTTTAATTTATTCATAGATTGGTTATTTGTGAAGCTATGTAATATACTCTGTTGAAAAATGACGTTTTTTTTGTTAGTTAATTGATAGATCTATTAGTTAGTAATTTAGTAAGTTTCATAAATATTAAAATGTATGTTTTAGCTCGACAACTGTGACGCTTGAGGTCAAATTATAATGAATTACCACTAGGTTAATGATATTCTTAATAATATCACTAATTTTTATTTACCTACATTGACTGAAAAGTGCAAATCGTTTAATTATGCCCCATGGAATGAAATGCACTTGGTTTAATTGAAAATATAATTACAAATTATCTATATTTTAATATGTGAGAGCATTTAAATCAATTAATTCTAATTAAAATACCATATGATCGAAAAAAGAAACGGTGTCAGACTTGGCTTATATATTCAATATGCCGTGTGGTGCATAGGACTAGGGACATAGGAAATCCCATGTAAATTTTGAAAAGGTCAAATTTTATGCAAAAGTTTTATTGAAGAGGCGTTAAATTGTACTTTTGTCTTGAATTTCGTTTCATTGGGAATAGGCATTTTAAAGTTATTTGCAATAATCTTTAATCTTATACATAAGATCTATGGTATACGTATACAGGGTGGCCCATCAAAAACGTTCCGCAAGGCATAACGACCAGGGTATTTTTTTTCAAAAAATCCAAAAACACGTCATTTTTGTTTGGGAGGGGGACAACTTTTGCCCCAAAAATGATTGCCAAATCTTCAACCCTCTAAGCGGGGGTGTCATCCCCAAACTTTTTTCAAATGGGAAGAGGGTTAAGTGGCACCGCAATGAAAAGAGCTTTCTATTCTCTATATTTCCCTGTTGGGTTTTTGAAAATCGGTCGAGTCATTGAGAAAATATGAAGGATTGAAATTTGAAAAGTTTACGGTACATGTCTCTAATTTTCAAGATGCTATTAAAGATGATTTCCAATTAAGTTTTATATACTTATTTATGAAAAATCCTACCATTATCCATAAAAAATGTACTATAGGTAATTAGATTTAGTAATTTAACCACCTATAGAGAATTATTGTTTTAATTAATACGAAGGATTTTTGAAGCAGTAAAAACAAACTTTTTACTTTTAAGTTACTTGAAGATTGCAATATTATGCTATATAATACAGGCCATAGGGTATAATAACTTATGTCACCATTATGTGGTAATTCTTAAGTAACTTAAAGAAAAGTAATTAAAACCTTTGTTTATACTGATTCAAAAATTCTTCATATTAATGAAAAACAATAATGCTAACTGCTTATATTACTAAATTTCGTTTCCTGTATACGTATAAATTTGTATGTAAAAATAACATTTAATAAACGGTTCTATTTCACGTATGAATTTATAAAGAAAAATAACATTTAATACACGTATTTGGTCTACGTGTAATCCTAGTATATCAAAAATTGCTAATATATGTTTACCATCTTGTATAATATTGGTTATAAAAGGAATATAGAAACCTTAGGTATAACGTTCAAGTCGCGGACATTTCCCAGTTTATAATACTTTTGACATATCTCAATTCAAAAATCATTTTGACGTAACATCATTAACTATATTGATATACTTTAGTGTGATTAACAACATAAGGAAACCAAGAGCACTACTAGGCCACTCTGTAAGTGCATAAAATATGCAGTTTACCTAATAGTGGTACTTGATTGTCGCCGAGGAAGATGCAACTAACTGGTATAAAATAGTACCTATATGTCGTAGTTCCTTATTAAACTACGATTAAGAACGCTTTCGACTTTGTAAAATTCCACTGGATAATTTTATAAAGAAGATTTTCGTAATCGATGTGATATATTGTAGGTAGTTTCGCTTCAATAAAGCTGTTTAAAAAGTTGCCGAAACGAATATAATTTGTTTATTTTAATATGGCCAATAAAATGCAAATTAGCTTCCAATTTTTGGTTTTCTCAAGTAAATTTTTAATACCTAGTACAGGTAACAAATGGAATTTATTTCGTTGAGTTCAAAAAAAAGTTATTGCTCTTTAAAAAAAAACGACACCATGTAATGCGACAACTGCCATGACACTTACATGTAAAAATTTAACACAACATGTTAAAAATAAAATGTTAATTTTTATATCAAACTTGTTGCAATGGTTTGTAGATTTTTTTGTCATCAGATCATTTAGAAAGTCTATAAAGTTACTTCGAATGATTTTTTGTTGTGTATAGGCCATTGTATCAAAGTGAGAATTAACATTTTTCGTACAGAAGATAAGTTAAAATAACAGCATTGGAAAATATTTTATTTGATTCATTTTTTCTTGTGCCATTCCTACGAATTTTTTTTATTTTTTTTTCGAAAATTAATTGAGAATGAGTTATTTTTGAAAGTCCCGGTATAATTATGAAACTTGATTAAATAGATGTTAAATTGAATTCAAATTTTTTTAAATTTTTTGAATATTTAATTGCCTGATCCTACTTTTTGCATATCATTAGAAGCTTTTTGGTAGAATATCGTACGACATTATGATTAATGATATTGAATGACATGCTGAAGAAAATCTGTGAAAACTATGTTCAATAACTAAATTATAAAATATTTTCCCATTGGTTGACAATTTTTTGGTACAACATGTATATTTTTTTGTGGAGACCTAATAATAACATATCTTAGAATAAATAGACAGTATATAATACGGTATGATCGAAAAAAAATGGCGTCAGCGATGGCTATGAAATGAAGGTCGCTGTCATTTTATATGTAAATTTATATGGGAAATGTCATTGATCGTCATTTCCCAGCCAACTGGACGCCGTTTTTTTTCGATCATGCGGTATATGTATATAGGATCCTATATCTCCTATGCGGAGCAAAGGGCTTCAGTGAAAGCTCTCCATCGGGTTCTGTTTTTGTCAGTTGTTTTTGCTTCCTTCCATGTTGACCCTACTTGTTGAAGCTAATCCAGTATGGAACGTCTCCATGTTTGAGCAGGTCGTCCTTGCTTTCTTTTTCCTTGGGGATTCCACTCCAACGCTGATCTCGCTATATTACTATCAGGTTTCCGCAAAGTGTGACCTATCCAACCCCATTTTCTTTTGCGGATTTCAATGCCTACTTCTTGTTGGTTTGTAAGATGAAGCAGGTCGGTGTTATGTATAGTGTCTAGCCAAAAGATTTTCAGTATTTTCCGCAAGCAGCGATTGATAAATACCTGTGGACGGTTGATGGATATTTTTGTCACTCTCCATGTCTCGCAGCCATATAATAAAACTGGTATGACGTTGGAATTGAATATTCTTAATTTTGTTTGTATGGAGAGTTGACGGGAGGTCCAAACTGATTTTACTTGGCCAAAGGCTCGCGGCGCCTTCCTGATCCTGCTGACAATATCCGCGTCTGAGCCACCGTTTGCTGTTACAATACTTCCAAGGTAAGTAAACTCTGTTACATTCTCGACATGTTTGATTCCTACATTGAATGGAGTGTTGTTGTTTGTGTTAATGCGCATTGACTTTGTTTTGTCGATGTTTATGCTTAATCCTACTTCGTCTGCTTCTGTTTTTAGGCGTCTGAGCATCATTTCCATGTCTTTGAAGGATTGCGTTGTGAGACAGATATCATCAGCATAATCAAGATCCGTCAGATGCGATGTCAGAGTCCATTGTATTCCCCTAATGTTTGCTGTGGCTTTAGTCAAAACGCTGTCGAGCACGATATTAAATAAAAGCGGCGATAATGTGCAACCCTGCTTTACTCCTGTCTCTAAGTTAAAACTGTCGCTGGTTCTACCGTTGTGCAGCACATTGCATTCTGTGTTTCTGTAGAGTTCCTTGATTATATTAATTAGTTTTTCCGGAACACCTTTTTCTTTTAGAGTTTTCCATACCATCGCATGGGGATACTGTCAAAAGCTTTGACGAAATCTATGAATAATAAGAATAAAGGTGACCTAAATTCTATTGACTGCTCTATGATAATGCGCAATGTGTTAATATGGTCAATGCACGAGTGGTTCGGTCCGAAACCAGCTTGGTTCTCTCTCAGAGTAGGCTCTATATAGGAGTTTAACCTTAAATGAACTATAGAGGATATTATCTTGTGAATGGTGTTTAACGAAACAATACCTCTCCAGTTGTCACAGTTAGTGGTATCTTCTTTTTTAGGGAGTTTAATAATGAGACCCTGTTTCCATTCATCTGGGATGATGTTAGATAAGCTCGTGTAATTAGAGGATGCAGTATGTCTGCTGCTGTGCTAGGATCTGCGTCAAATGTAAAATGGTGACAATAAAACATACAAAATACAAAAAAAATAACTTTAAATTAAAAATTATAAAATGTGCCTATTCTTTTGAAGAATTTCTTCCTTGACATATCTCTTGGGCAAAATCATAGGTAAATAATAGTAAATTCGAATGGTCTTCGTCTTAAAAAAATACTAACAGGTGCAAAAAAATGTAATAGGAGTTTTGATTTGATTTTAGTAATTCATTACATTATATATACAATTAAGTAAATATTATTTTCCAAAATGTGCCGCCCTAGGCAAGATAGGCAGCTGCCTTGCTGGAAGGTATACCAAGTACCAGTACTGGAGACCTCGCAGCAACATTCCGGAAAAGAATTTTATGTGAAGAACAAGAACCCGAGACCTCCACGGGGCAAAAAATGAGAATAAAATTCTAGTAGTCAAAAGATTACTGGAAAAGAAGTTTGGCCATCAATTATCTTAGTGAATTGTTCAAACTGCGACATTAAAATTAAAATCAACGCAAAAAAAGTTATTAACAAAAATATTCGTTTATAGTGTCATTGTTAGTGGTAATATTATTCTGTGAATTACTGTAAAAACTTTTTAATAAATATTTAAATAAAACTTTCAATTCAATCGAAGAAAAAAAATTGTGTACAACACGCGCAAAAAGCATATTTGTTGCACTCAGTATGATTGCAAAACTCGTGTTGTGCATCAAATATGTTCTTTTTGTATTAGTTACACAAATAACCAATACATCTAGTAGCAAAAATATTAAAAAATAATAAAACTATAAGAATCTAAAGAGTC